GGGCTCGGCAGAGACCCAGACACCCGGGGGAGACGGACGGAGGGGTGCGGGCGCCCGCCCTGCACCCGCGCGCTGTCCGCGTGGGCAGTGGGGACTGGGGAGGGGCCCTCGGGCCGGTCACCTCCCCTCGGACTGCGCCCACCTCCTCCAGGGCCTGCCCTCTCTCCAGGTGCTCGGCCTGTGAGAAAACTAGAGACCAAGAGACATCCAACAGTCCACGCGGGACACCGGGTGCCCTGTTCTCCCACCGTCCGCGGTGCTGGGAGGAGCGGAGGGAGCCGGCCCTTCCTTGTGGAGAGGTCCCCGGGGGGTCGGGACCCCTGTGCCCTTTTAGACTTTGTTTTAATCATCGCCCCGTGACCCCTTGCCCCATGTTTTCTCCTCTGCGGGTCCCCTCGTGTTTTCTAGCCTCGGTCACCCCTTCTCCCCTTCCTGGGTTGGGGTAGCTGAGGAGCGAAGCAGCAGGACCCCCTCTTCAGCCTAACACCGCAGGGAGTGGGGCGCGGCTCTTCCCCGGCCTGGGCGTGGTGGACGAAGGGGGCCCGGGGCAATAAATGGCACCATCGTATTGTCCCCGCCGTGTGGTTCTTGCTTTGGGAGGGGCCAGTGGGTGGGTTCCTCACCGCGAGGCCGGGCGCCAGGCCTTGGATGATGGCGCTCCCTTTCCCTACGACTGGGCCACTGGGCAGCCGTGCAGCTCTGGGGTCTGACTTGGTTGGCCATCCACAGGGGGGTCTGGGCCTCAAAGGGTCGCCGCAGGATCCTCATTCCAGTGCGGACGGGCCCTAGTGTGTCCCAGCTCACCGCCCCGGGAGCCGTGGCTGCCGTAGAACGGACAGGTTTCTGCGGAAAGCAGGCTTCGCACAAAATGGACGTTGCTGAAAAGTCGGCTCTGACCCGCAGCCCCCGGGCGGGTCACGGGGACCTGGGCTCCGTGGGGTGCTAGCAGCCGGCCCTCTCCACGCGCAGCGCCGGGGCTCGCTTCCCAGGCGCCTCCGCGTGTCCTTGAACTTCCCACCTGTTAGCAGCCAGGCACATCAACCGTTCGCACATTGCCCAGACTCGATGGGCAAAGCATGCACGAACCCCACCTCCCGGCGCACGGCGAGCCCTTCAGCACCACGGACAGGGCTCCGCTCGCCGGACCCGCGCGCTGTCCCGACCCCTCCCAGCCTGCGTCAGGGAACGGAGCTTAGCCAACCCCGAGTCAAACCCACTCCCATCCGGTCGGCTCCGAGTCGCAGCGACCCCCCCAGGCAGAGGACACCTGCCCCGTACAGCTGCCCACAGTAAATCGTGCGGGGTACACCGCCTCATCTTTCTCCCGCAGAGAGGCTGGTCGGTTCCAAGCAAGGCGCTGACCTTTCAGTTAGCAGCCAAGCGCTTTAGGCGCTGTGCCACCAGGGTGCGGCGGAGGCTTTGGGAAGGCTAACGCGCGCACACGCACACGGCTCTCCTGGCTGTAAACAGCTCGACGGTGCAGTGTCCGCGTCCACACTGCTCTGTTCCGCAGGGACTGCTGGAGAATCGGGGGGGCCTGCCGGCAGCAAAACAGGAAGACTCAAAGTCACGCGGACTGGGGGGGCCCGGGCGGTGGATCCCGGTCAGGGGTGGGTACGTTTGGGGACAAACGCACTGTTCAAATAAGACGTGGAGAAAAACGTGACCCCACACGTCTTTGAGGCCAACCCCCAGTTCCTCTCTCTCCCTAGATCACCGTGAAGATACAAGTGCTTCTTAAAATTAATTGACTCCATGGGAGCATGTTCTAATACCTGTGTGTGCGTGTGTTATGTATGCACATCCCTATTGCTGGTTCCAACTCACAGGGTCCCCACAGGACAGAGAACTGCCCCCAGGGTTTCCAAGGCTGTAAGTACGGGGGCAAGTCTCCAGGTCTTTCTCAGGGGGGTTTCTGAGGGGTTCACGCTGTCAGTCTCTCGGGAAGCTGAGTGCTCAGCCACTGCGCCACCAGGGCCCCTTCCTGTGTGTGTGCGCGCATCTTGAGAAATGATGTGTGTGTGTGTGTACCTTTAGATGCACTGCCTGGTGGTGCAACGGGTAAGTGCTCGGCTGTTGAAAGTCGGCAGTTCAAAACCACACAACAGCTCTGCAGGGAAAGGACCCAGTGATCTGTCCCCGTGAAGATTACAGCCCAGGGGCCACCAGGAGCCAGAACCAACACCTACAACATTGCGACCTGTACGCAGTCGCCCCTCCCCAGTGACTCTCAGTGTGGCCCCTGGCAACTTCTTGGAGAAGCAAACTCTCAGGCCGCAGCCCGAGGCCCGTGGGCTCAGCAGCTCTGGGTGGACTCAGCCTGGGCTTTAACGAGGTCTCCCAGCGCCCGTCACGAGTGTGAGGCCCACAGCTCTCGCCCACCTGCCTGCTCACACGCTGTGCCTAGGATCTGAGCTTCTGCCTGCTCACGGGGTATCTGTCCGGGGCCAGGTTATGTCACAAACGACCCCCCACCTCAGCGACTCAGAACAATCCTGGGTTTGTTTCCTGTTTGTGCCCCATCTATGACATTATGGACTGAGCTGTGACCCTAGAAAGTTCCGTGGAAGCCTTACCTCTGTGCCTGTCAATACGAGCCCGTTTGAGAATGAGGGTTTCTTTGAAAACATCCCAGAGTAGGGTGGGTCCTCTACCTAATCCCTTCTGACTGGTGTCCTATGACAAGAGCAGAGAAGACAGTCACACACAAAAGGGACTGCGGTGTCACAAATGACAGTGTGGCTCTTCTGGGCATAATTCTTTGTAAACTCCGTGGTGGAATTTGCCGTGAGCAACTGAGTAGCTCCCGATTATTAAAGTTATCCACCTGGGGTACTTCTGTTGGGAGCGGCATGAAGTAACTTTCTGGGAAGTTCACTCTCTCTCAGGTGTACAGAATTCTGGTGTTAGGATTGGTTAGTTTGGCCACTCTGCCAGGCTCAAAAGGAGTCCTCTTAGAGGCTGAAGGGGTCTCTCACTGCTGGTTGAGAAAGACGTGCTGAGAGACTGAGAGACGGTGGGGCTGAAAGGGACTTAGCGTGTTCCCGAACCTGAATTGTAGCTTGTTGCTTCTCTAACAAATGCATAATCTGCGAATTCTGTGTGGCCACTGCAGCAAATTATCAAACCCAGCAAACAAACGGAAGAATTGTAGGTCAAGTGAACAGCCGTCTGGCTTGAATCACCAGAATAGAGTCACGGCCTCTTGACCAATTCCCAGACTTGAGCCAGTTTACAGAGCCACACACCCCCTTGAAGGGGAGGCTGGGTCCCCTTGAGGAAGGACCCCAATACACTGCCAAAAATTTATAATGTCAGTCTTTCTCCCAGCCTTCCCCAAAGGGATCTAAGGCCTTTTGCTAGAGTGACTGTTCACTGGGGAAAAGGAAATCATTAGAGTTTTTGGGGATTACTGGACACTGGCTCTGAACTAATTCCAGGAGACCCAAAACATCACTGTGACCCACTGGTCAGAGTGGGGGCGTCTGGAGGTCAAGTGGTTGATGGAGTCTTAGCCCAGGTGTGACTCAGTGGGTCCAGTGGGTCCCTGAACCCTTACGATTGTAGATTCAGTCAGTCGTAGTTGTTAGGGGCCGTTGAGTTGGATCCCACTCATGGGAACCCTGCAAGTCAGAGCAGAACTGCCCCCCAGGGTTCCCTAGGCTGTCATCTGTGGGAGCCGACCACCAGCAGCACAGGGTGGATCCAGCCCCCCGGGGACTGTTAGCAGCTGTGCACCCTGCCACCAGAGCTCCTTAACTCACGGTTAGCACAATTAACTCAGTATCCCCCAAACTCCACCACACGTGACCCTCTGAGTCACAGAACCCCACTCTCCTCTATTTCTGATCTCGAGTCACACAGGGTGAGGGACTCACCTAAGTTTCCCCAGACACTGGGGCTTGGAGGTGGATCTTTGCAGCAAGTGTGGAAACTGGAGTCCATTCAGTCAAAGGGCCCTTTGGGCCCCGAGCTCCGACCAGCCTGAAGGGAGAAGGTGGGGCACGCAGTGTGGTTGTCAGGTCACAATTCTAACTCACAGACACCCCACGGGACAGAGTAGAACTGCCCCACAGGGCTCCGTAGGCTGCCATCTGTACGGCAGCGGACTGGCGGTCTCTCTCCTGTGGAACCACCCGGTGGGTTCCAACTGCCTTCCGGTTAGCAGCTGAGCGATTCATCTCTGTGCCACCAGGGCTCCTTGGGGACACACAGGAGGACACCACAAACAGGTTCTTAATCAGGAACAGAGGAAAAAAGAGGAGAAAGCAGCACCAAGAACCGGGCGGGGAAAAGAGCCCACCAACTGGACTCACCTCCTAGACTGGCTCCCACTCTGGGGCCGACTGGCAACCGCAGGGCGGGGAGTCGGGGAGAGGCTATGACCACAACCACACACACACAACCATACACACACACACACAACCACATACAACCACAACCACACACATATGCGCGCACGCCACACACAACCACTCACGCGTGCGCACGAGCACAACCACACACACACACAACCACACACACACACACTCTTCACCTTGCTCTGTATTGCCAGCTAAAAGGAATGAGTGAACCTAAAAATGTATTTCTGCGTTACTTTCATCAGGACAGAGAGATCCCGAGTGAGAACCCCAGGGGGACGACAGGAAGGGGGCGCCGAGGGGCCCAGCTGCTCCGGCCTCGCCAGTGCGCTCAGCAGCTGTGAGTGAACGTGGAGAGAAGACCCCCGGCTCCTCCCACCTGCCCTGTCCGCTCACCACCACCCGCTCGCTCCCAGGAACTGCCCGCGCCAGGCTTCCCAGTGCTCATGTCCACTACTTTATTGGGTCCTAAAACACCACTGTACTTTCCCAACGTGGTGTTTCAAAGGCTTGTCCAAGGTCACGGAATAAAAACCACAGAAACATACGAAACGTGTGAAGCAGAGCAGAAAACACACAGGTCACGTCAGTGATGGGGCCTTGAAGTTCCTGGCCCCTCACCCAACTCTGAGGCAGGAGGCGTCCGGGCGCCTGCAGCCCTGAGGTCCGGCTGCCTCTTAGTCACTATCCACGATCGTCAGGGAGGGGTTTCTCTCTTCCTCAGCCATCAGAAGGCTCTGGGTTTCCTCACCAAACTCAGATTTTTGCAGCCTGGTAAAATGCAAAGGGGGCTCTGTTTCACTCGCATCTTTAGTCATTACCACGTCTTTCTCCCCAGTTTGCTCCGTGGGCAAGTCTAGGAGATGCCAGTGTTTGGCCCGAACAGGAAAGACATATCCATTAGGTACAAAAGTGGGCTGATACATGCTGAACACCTGGCTCTGACGGAGGAGGAGGAAAAGCATGAGGGAGAGGAGCTCTACAAACACACGGTGGGTGTTACAGCTCTGAGCTGGTAGGTGCTGCTGGCAGCGGCCACGGCATCCGCTTCAACTCACAGCCACCGCGTGTGACTCACTGAGCAGAGCTGACCCAGAACCGTGGGGGCAGACTGCCGGGTCTCTCTCCCGCACAGCCCCTGCTATGTTCAAACCACCAACCTTTGCTTAGCAGCCACGCACTCACCTGTTACGGCACCAGGCTCCTTATTATAACTTGCATTCAAAAGGAAACACCACCATTTATTGGCCACCCACCCACCCACCGGGTGAGCAGCTCTGGTGGTGGAGTGCTTAAGGCATTTGGCTGCTAACCAAAAGGTCGGAGGTTCAAGCCACCAGCGGCTCCGCGGAAGAAAGATGAGGCGGTCTGCTTCCGTACAGACTGACAGCCAGCACGGGTGGCTGTGAGCTGGGCTCCGCTCAATGGCGGGGAGACTGGCTTTGGTTTTTCTGACCCACCGGTAACTGGCTGTCAGTGCCTTCTGTTCACTGTCTCTCGAGACAGGAAACACTGTCCGAGTTGTGAACACACTGAGCTCAGACAGCACGCGGGACCCATCAGCCCGCTGCTAGCACTGAGGCCGCTGCCCCCCAGGAGGGGAACGGGAGGCAGCTCACCCAAGCACCCTCAGGACGCACGCGGGGTGTCTCACGGCCTCACACAGCAGCACCACCCCGTCAGCTGCAGCCGCCTCAGGGTTCTGCTGGAGGTCAGGGCGGAGGCAAGGTCCTCACAGCAGGCACTGGTCAGCTGGCAGGGGTCCAGGCTGCAGGGACAGGCGGGGGGATGGCAGCCCCACGTTTTTAAAACATCATTGTACGGTTTGTGGTTGATGAAACACCCAGGAGCACATACACGCGGTCAACAATCTGCACACACATGACTCAGTGCCTTTGGGGACAGTCCTCCCGTTGCATGACCAGCTCTTGGCTCCTCCCCTCCCAACAGCCCCTACGATCCCTATCCAACCCTGCAGAGTTTCTGTCAGTCTGGTCCCTACAGCTGGTTCTTTAAGACGTAAGCCACACACTCAGTGACGGCTCAGCCCGCACCCTGAGCTCCACCCCTTAGGCTGCTGTTGTTGCCTGTCGTTGGGCTGGATCCTGACCGACAGCGACCAGGCCCCTAGGTGGAACTGTTCCACAGGGTTTTCCTGGTTACAGTCTTTATGCAAGCAGATCACCATACCGCTCTTCCACAGAGACACAGGATGGGTTTGAACCACCAACCTTTAGATCAGCAGCCACTGCGAGCTGTCTGTGCAGCCCAGGCTCTGCGGTATCTCACAGTCGTGTTCAGGGCACGACTGTGACTCTGTGGCAGACTGTGAAGTAGCCACGAACGTCCATTCCTCTCTGCACCCAACCCCTCTGCAATGTGACCCCTCAGCTCATTCCATTAACAGTGTTCTCCCCACCCTTTGACTCAGGCGCCCTGGTGGTGCACTGGTTAAAGTGCTCAGCTGCTCATCAAAAGCTTGACACTTTGAACCTACCAACCACTCAGAGGGAGAAAGATGAGGCAGTGTGCTTCTGTAAAGACTGACAGCCTTGGAAACCCTAGGGGGCAGTTGTACTCTGTCCTACAGGGGTACTGTGAGTTGGAATTGACTCCACGGCAGTGGGTTTGCTTTGTTTCCGTAAAGATGAACCCACTGCCAGTGAGTCGATTCCGACTCACTGTGACTCCCACTGGGTTTCTAAGGCTGTAAATCTTCAGGGAAGCACATTGCCTCGTTGGCCTCCTATGGAGCAGCTGGTGGGTCTGAACCGCCGACCCGGTTAGCAGCCAAATGCCTTGCCCACTATGCCAACAGAGCCCCTGACAGCCCAGGAAACCCTGTGGGGACAGTCCTACTGTGTCCTGCAGGGACGCTGTGTGTCACTATCAGCTGAAGCTACTCAACAGCAGTGGGGTTTTGGTTTTGAACGACTTGCTCTGCAACATGAGTCCGAGAGTGGTCTAGTGTGCAATAAGGAGTCCCTGGGTGGTGCCACCAGTGCAGTGCCCAGCTACTGAAGGAAGGGTTGGCCATCCGAACCCACCCAGAGACAGAGGACAAGAGCCCTGGAGGCGCACATCTGAAAAATCAACCTTTCAACACCCTCCAGAGTGGCTACCACTAAACACCCTCAGGGCAACTCTCCATTCGGATGCACACGGGGTCGCCAGAAGTCAGCTGATTCCAAGGTACCTGCTTTGTTTTGCTCTTTGGATCATGCCCAACCATTCCATGGTTATCTGGGAGGCTGGCTGACACGTGTTCCACGCGGACTTTGCATCTCTCCCTCCCCCGTTCTCCCCCCCCTTCTCCCTCTCTTGTCCATCCACCCCTGCTCTTCCATCACCCACAAAGACACTACCATGCCCTTGAGGACACCTACCCAAGATTGCCTAAGTGACAGCTGGGACGGGTCAGAGCTTCACACAACAGCTTCACACCCACATCTCGTAAGTCGTTGTGCCCGAGTTCCAGACTTCTCAGGTTTGAGCTGCTGGTGAGGACGGAGGCAATGGCTCGACAGCCCTCAGCAGTGATGTGACATTTCACCAAACTGAAAAAGAACAGAGGTGGCGTCATTTTCAAGGACTTGCCACATGTTTTTACTTTGGATATGCCCATAGCTGTGGCTTCTGGGTTATGTCATCTTCTATATTAATGCTTAATTGTTGTTTGCTATTATTGGTTCTGTGCTCAAAGGGCTCCCTTTAGTATCTCTTGTAGGGTTGGTCTGGTTTTAACAAATTCCCTTAATTTCTGCTTATCTGGAAATCTAATTTCACCATCATATTCGAGGGATAAATTTGCTGGGTATATAATTCTTGGTTGGAAATTTTTCTCAGGGTTTTATATGTACCATCCCACTGCCTTCTCACTGGCATGGTTTCTGCTGAAGAATGAGACCTTATTTTTATTGGTTGAAGGACTTACCACACTTTTGTATGATGTTAAGAAGGGCGAGGCCCCTGGGAGCTACAGATGGTTTGTACGCAACTACTGCTGATCAGACCACAGCCTTCACTGGGATTACATCGCAACAGGAAGAGAACAAACATCTTCACGTCTGGACCAGCAAGCACCATCATGGTAAATGGAGACAAGAGTGAGATTGTCAACCATTTCTTTTTACTTGGATCCACAATCAACACCCATGGAAGCAGCAGTCAAGAGATCAAATGACACCCTGCACTGGGCAAATCTGCTGTGAAAGACCTCTGTGAGGAGCTACAGAGCAAAGATGTCACTTTGTAGACTAACGTGCACCTGGCCCAAGCCATCGCCTTTTCAATCACCTCGTATGCCCATGACAGCTGGACAACGGACAGGAAGGCTGCAGAAGAACTGACGCATGTGAGTTGTGGTGTTTAGTGGAGGGCACTGAATGGCCGTGGACTCCGTCAGAAGAGCCAGCAAACCTGTCCTGAATGGTTCTCAGAAGAAAGAATGGTCAGACTCCGCCTGTCATCCTTCGGTCATGCTGTCAGGAGAGCCCAGTCCCTGGAGAAGGACGTCGTGTTTGGTACAGCAGAGGGTCAACGCAAAAGAGGAAGACCCTCAACGAGACGGACGGACACAGTGGCTGTGACGATGGGCTCAAGCGTAACAATGATTGTGAAGGTGCTGAAGGGCCAGGCTGTGTTTCGTTCTGTTGTACACAGGTTGCTTTGAGTTGGGTGTGACTCAACACCACCTCACCTAAATGTCAGCAATTTGAACCTACACAGCAGTGCTGTGGAAGAAACGTCTGGTGACTTGCTCCTATAAGGATTATATGCAAGAACAAAAAAACCAATGGAGAGGCTCTACTCTGTGACACACGGGGTTGCCATGAGCCAGCAAGGACTCAGCGGCAACCAGCTTGGCCTGGTCTCGTTCAGCACAACCTGAGAGTCATTTGTTCCCCTTCCTCTTCTGTTATTTCAACTCGGTGAAGCCCAGAAGGTAGGACACACACTACACAGCAGTGGCCAAGAGATGTCCTCTGGTTCGCAACAATGCTGACCTCATCATCACCCACCTTAGCGCGTTCGTCTCGTCTCCGTTTCACCTGCGCTACTTAATGCCTGAATAACCAGACCTTCTCTGGCACGTCAGCTCTGCTTTAAATCACAATCCCCCGTTACTGGGGCCATCTTGTGAAGCTTCCTGATGCATCAGGTAAAACAATTGTGCCTGACCCTACACATCTCTGGATTTCTCAGGGAAAGACATCTGATCAAAAACACAATCCCAACTGGTTAAGAAAAAAAAAAGTTACCCAAATGTTTCTCAATGTAACATCATGAAGGGAAGTCTTCATCGCTGTCTGTTTTCCCCATTACTCTCCAACCCCTCTCACTCCTTTCTGAAGTGTCTGTTGTTTTTTCACATTGACTCCCACACACGCTTCAGCTCACCCACGCCCTGGCTTTACCTTCTCTCTGGAATGACGGTTCTCTTTCTCCACTTGGTGAAGCTTATCATTTCCTAAAATGTATGCCATGCATCCTGTTACCCGTCAAACCCTCCCTCAGCCCCAAGTCATCAAAATCCCTGTCTTTCTCTCTTACTCCTTTATGCATACCCAAATGAATGGCCATCTTGTTGTTGGCGCCACCTCATGGTGACCTCATACACCGCAGAACGAAAGATGGCTCCGCTCCGTCTTCATGGTCACTGGTAGGGTGGGGTCCATCACAGCTCATGTGCCAATCCACCTTACGGAGGCTGTCCCTCCTTTTCTGCTGACCTTCTGTGTCACCCGTCCACGACGTCCGTTTCTGGTGACCAGTCTTTCCCGGTGCCGCCTGCTGTTGTTGCGGTGGTTGTGCACCATCAAGTCAATTTCAAGTGACAGCGACAGCACGTGACAGAGCAGAACTGTCCCCAAGGCGTTTACTGGGCCATCACCTTCATGAGACAGGTCACCAGGTCTTCTGCCCACAGAACCACTGGGGCCAAGCACTTCAGTGTGTGCCACTGGGGCTCCTTGACCAGCATATTCAGTCTCTGACACTAAGCTCAAGGTACCAGTAGGTTCACCTGAACACCTCTACAAGAACCTGACTCAGGCATCAGACATTTTTTCATCTTCACGTTGCAAAGCACACTCACCATGACCTTCATTGTCAGCAACCCCAGACCTTAAGAGGGAGGCTGGGTCTTTAAAGGAAACCTACCAGAGCGACTGCAGGCAGCACTGCGGGTGTCTCAGGGCCTCACACAGGAGCTCCAAGTCATCACCTCTCAGGACACTCAGGCCGAGATCTAGATAGGTTAGGCATTTGCTCCTCATGAGAACATCACACAGGGTCTCCCAGCAGGGTTCACTGACATAGCAGCTAAACAGCCTGTGAGGACAAACGTGAGCAAAGGAGGGAGAAGGAAGAAGAGAGGATACCTCAGAGCTTTCTGAAGTTAACCCCACGTCAAAGGGAGTATTTCTGTTTTCTTGTACATAAAATGCTCACATACCCACTGCTGTGGAGTCCATTCTGACCCACAGCGCCTAAGAGGACAGAGTGGAACTGCCCACAGGGTCTCCCAGGCTGTCAATCTTCACGGAAGCAAAGCCCAAACCACACCCACTGCCGTGGAGTCCATTCTGACCCACAGCGCCCCTAGAGGACAGAGTGGAACTGCCCCACAGGGTCTCCAAGGCTGTCAGTCTTCACAGAAGCAAAGCCCAAACCACACCCACTGCCGTGGAGTCCATTCTGACCCACAGCGCCCCTAGAGGACAGAGTGGAACTGCCCCGGGGGATTTGCAAGGCTGTCAGTCTTCACAGAAGAAAATCCCCAGGTCCCTGTAAAGACTACAGCCTAGAACACCCAGTGGGGACAGCTGTACTCTGTCTCACAGGGCTCACTGTGACAGCTGACTCAACAGCCCCTGACAAGTTACCGACACATGAAACATCTGTGTGTGTATGCTATAGGCACTTTAATCCAATCTAACATCTTTTAAAATTTAGTATGTACTCTGTACGCACACTCTTAATTTTCGTAAGATCTTAGGGCAAGATTCCCCTCCCTCTATTAAGGACCTCCGGTGGCAAAGTGGGTAAGGCATTTTGGATGCTAACCACAAGGCCTATGGTTCAAACCCATAGCTGCTCCGTAGGAGGAAGATGAGGCCATCTACTTCCATAAAGGTTTACAGTCTCAGAAACCTGCTGGGGTCACCACGAGTCAGAATCGACTTGACGGCAGTGGGTTTGGTGTTCTGGGCTGTAGTGTGAGCTAAACGAAGCTGAGGGATGTGAAACCACTTGCTCTGGATGGTAAATGTAGGACTGGAAGCCAAGGGTGGTTGAGTCTTAACTTTATGGCTTAAAACATCTACTATGTTGCTTCCACCAGCGGATGGATTTGCAACAAGTCAAAGATCAATCTGCATATAGTAGAGCTGATAAGGGACAAGGTTATGGTGGGTTCTTGGTCAAAACCAGCTGTCCAGAGGGAGCGAGCAGTCGGACACGTGGGCCCGGGACCATGGTCACAGGGAACATTAAGCTCAATGGACATACCATACTACACAAAAACTGTTCCACATCCTACTTTGGTGAGTAGTGACTGGGATCTTAAAAGCTTGCAAGTGGCCATCTAGATACAATGATGGCTCTCTCCTCATCCAGAGCAAAGAAGAATGAAGAACACTAAAGACGCATGGAAATAATTAGTCCAAGCGACTGGTATATCATGCAATCCTTAGTCCATACGACTATGAGACCAGAAGAACTAGATGGTGCTCGGCTACCACTGTCAACCACTAGGAGGGATCCTGTAGGAGATCCTGGATAGAGAGGGAGAACAATGTGGGACAAACTCAAAATTATATATATATAAAAAAAAGACCAGGTTTGCTGGTCTGATGGAGCCTGGTGGAATCACTGAGACTACAGCCCCTGACTGCCCTTGAAGTCTGGAATTGAACCCACACCTGTGGCTTCCAGCCAAACAAAAGACAGGCATATGAGCTGAACATTTACACTAGGTAGATACAGTCCTTGGAGAGAACAATCACGGGAGAACAGAAGGGCTGTGTGTGCACAGGGAGACAGCTCAGGGGCCAGGAGTGCATGGGACACAGGGAAGAGGTAACTATGGGGAGGAAGTGGGAGAGGAGCTGTTGCATTGTGGGAAATTGCAGTCAATGTCATGAGACAAAATGTGTATGAACTGCTGTATGGAAAATGAATTTGCTCTGTAAACTTTCACTCAAATTATAATAAAATTAAAAAAAGAAAGAAAGAAAGAGAAGGGATGGACCTGGTGCCATGCTTTGGCACAGCCAGCATCCCGCCATCACTTACACGAGGGCCTCCAGCACACAGCCGGGGTAGCACAGAGCCTCGCACAGCGGGCCCACGCCTTCGTCCAGGTAGTTGTAGGCTACGTTAAAGTACCTCAGGTTTTTGCTGCTCTTCAGAACCGAGGCAAACGCTTCACAGTCATCCGCTGAGAGGAGACAATTTGTCAGCCTGTTGGAGAGAGCAAACGCCGTATTCCACTTGGTGCCAGTCCCCTGACACTTTCCTTTTGTTGGTCCTATAAGGAGCCCTGGTGACACAACAGTTAAGTGCTTGGCCGCTAATCAGAAGCTTGGCAGTTTGAACCTACCCGGCAACTGTGCTGGAGAAACTCCCGCTAACGTATTTTTCTGAAGAGCACAGCCATCGGAAACCCTAGGGAGCAGGTTCTAACGTGACACAGGGAGCTGCCGTGAGTCCGCTGCCTTGACGGCGCTGGCCAACAACATCTGAGTCGGGAAGCACACATCTGTTCTGCGTGGGAACTTCACTGAGCCCAACTGTTCATGACGCCCATCAACCCATGCTCTCTGCTAACATGAGCGACAACGTGAGATACACACGGGCCCGCTTACGTCCATAAAGGTCAAGAACAGCTGCTTCTGCCGAGTCTACTTCCAGTCACGGCGACCCGAGCGTCAGAGCTGAACTGTGCTCTGCAGGGTTTCAAGGCTGGGCCCTTTGGGAAGCAGACGGCCAGGTCTGTCATCTGAGGCACCTTTGGGCGATTACCACTGTGATCTTTCAATCAGTCGTCTAGCACTGTACCACTGACACCACCTGGGGACACTCCTCACACCCACACTTGGCTTAAACCCCCGACTGCTCACCACACTTAGGGAAAAGCACAACACACACGGAATTGGCCACAAGGCCCCTGCCCGTTCCTGCATTCCTTGTCCAGTCGCACTGGCCACTGCCAGTTGCTCGACCAGCCTGGGTTTCATTCCCTACAGCATCCACTCACACTTGCTCCTCCCCAATGCCTTCAGCTGCCTTAGGGGCTCTGGGAAGACGCCCTCAGGGCACAGGGGTTAAGCACTTGCCTACTAACTGAAAGACTGGCAGCTAGAGCCCCTCAGCTCCTCCATGGCAGAAAAGACCTGGTGTCTGCTCCCATAAAGATTTCAGCCTGGAAAACCCCACGGGGCCGTGCTACTCTGTCCTGTAGGGTTTGCGATGAGTTGGCACGGGCTCAGTGGCAATGGGTTTGGTTTTCTTGGCCCAGGGACCCAAGGCACAAGTTGTCTGAAGCTGGCTGCTAACCTAAGGCTCAGTGGCCAGAACTTACAAAGCTTCCACAAGACCCATTCTTGTTGTGTGTCATGGAGTCGATTCTACTCAAAGCAACCCCGTGTGACAGCATAGATCTGCCCCATCAGGTAGCCTAATCTTTAGGTCTCTCCTCCAACGGAAAGGCTAGACTGAACCCCAACATTTCAGGAGCAGCTGAACCCTCACACCACCAGGGCTTCTTCCATGGAGATTACAGCAAGGAAACCCCCCCTGAGCAGTTCTACCCTGTAACCCACGGAGTCGCCATGAGCTGGAATTGAAGCGACGGTACCCAACAACCACCATGACAGGGGCTTGGCGTCCACTCCCAGTGGAATACTCTTCCCCTGGCCTTTGGCTAGATGGACCCTCCTCATCCAGGTCTCCGTTCAAGTAGCATCTTCTCAGAGAACATTCCAGAAACTAAGTCTTGGACTGTGGACCAACACGTTCACTATAGTACTTTGGGGCTTGCTTGAACTGATTGGGGCTGGCAACAACTGTGGCTTTCTATTATCTCAACCACTCTCCTTACCCCTGGCTGCCACAGAAAGTATAAACCAACCAGACTTAACAACAGAATGAGGATGCAAACAATTAAAACAGTGCTTGAGAAATGAAAGCGCAATTGCAAGTTACCCACTCCATGGCTCCCAACATCTCTCCAGGGTGACGCTGAGGCAACGTAGGGCTCTGAAGTGGTTTAGGGGGTTGAAATCATTTTCAAAGAGGAAAAATAAGGTTTGGCTTAATTCGTAATGTGGACAAAAACGAAATAAAAATAGATCACAGATCTAAACATAAGAGCTAAAACTTTAAAACTTAGAAGGAAATGTAGGAATAAATCTTCATGATGTCGAGTTAGGCAATGTTTCCTAAGATACAATAAAACCTGTGAAAGCTGGAACCCAGGTGAGGTAGAAACCCGTCAGAGGAGGAAAACTCACAGGGTATTTATGAAGTAAGATTCTTAAGAGAGAGAAATAAAAATATGGTAAGCACCATGTCAAAGGCAGAAAACTTGTGAGACCTGGAAAAACGAGTCAGTACCATAGAGTTCCAGTTCTCATGGGTTTCAGAATATACAACACCAATAGTCCAAGAGACCAAGAAATAGAAATAAATTGCATTTCATCAAATTTTAAAACTTTTATGAATCAAATAACTTTAACCAACAAAGGGGAATGGGAGAATGGGAGAAAAATACCTGGGAACCATATGTCTGACGAGAAACTTGTAACCAAAATGTATAAAGAACTCTTACAATTTAACAACAAAAAGACAAACAACCCAATTAAAAAATAGGTAAAGGAGTTGAAAAGGTATTTCTCCAAAGAATCATACAAATAGCTCACAGGTGCATGAAAAGATGCTTGACATCACCAGTCATATGGGCAATACAAATCAGAATCACTAGGTATCATTTCACACCCAGGATGGTTCTTATTAAAACAACAGAACCCAGAAAATATAAGTGTGGTGAGAATGTGTGCAAACGAACTCTCAAAGATGGCCGATGGAAATGTAAAATGGTGCAGCTCCCGTAGGAAAGAGTTTATGGTTCCTCTCAAAGTCAAGCCCAGAATCACGACGACGCAACCACCCCATGCCTCCTCCTGCTTCTCTTTTATACTCAAAGTATATATGGTGGAGCCCCCAAGATAATGATCCTTAGATACCCTTCAGGCTGGGAACCGAAGTCAACCCCACGGCTCAATTTTCAGCCAAACAATGGACAGGGCTATACGGTAAATAGTGATACCAGGGGGATATGCATTCGTTAGAACCATCAACACTATGAGATCAAGGGAGTAGCAGCTGCCTAGGGATGGAGCTGGGAAAGAAGGAGGGGAAGCGGGGGAAGGACAAGGGAAGTGGTGGCATGAGGAGGAAGTGGGAAGGTGCTGTTGCATTGTGGGGATTGTAGCGAAAGTCCTAAAACAGGACGGGTATGGGCTGTTGAATAGAAAACCAATTTGCCCTGTAAACTTTCACCCAAACCACAATTAGAAATTTTTTTTTAATATATTAAGAAGAGAGGAAAAAAAAAAAAGAAAGAAAGAATTGAAAATAAGTATTCAAACATGACTTTTAGGAGTCATATTATTCACAAGGGCCAACAGCCAAAAGGTGGAAACAACAGAAATACCTGTCAACTGATAAATGGATAAACAAACAAACTATGGTATGTCCATTCAAGGGAATAGTATTCAGTCATAAAGGGAAGGCAGTGCTTCTACATGTCTGCTGTTCTTGGGTGCTGCCACACTGATTCTGATGCACAGGGACCCCACGTGACACAGCACAACGCCCCATAGGGTTTCCTAGGCTGTAATCTTTATGGAAGCAGCTGGCCACATCCTCCTTCTGCAGAGCATTGTTGGGTTTGAACCACTGACCTTTCAGTTAGCAGCTGAGCATCCAACCTCGGTTCCACCATAGCTCCTTATTGATACATGCTGTGACATGGAGCTCCTCACAGATACATGCTGGGACACAGGCAAGCCCTCAGAACATGATGCTGTCATTTTTCAGGTGTTGTGAACAAAGCTGCCCTGAATGTCTTAGTACCTGTCTTTCAGAAAACTTGGCGCCCCTGGGTGAGGGAAATGGCTGCTGTTCGACTGCTAACTAAAAGGCTGGTGGTTTGGGTCTACCAACAGGCATCTCTGAATAAGACCCTGGAGATCTACTTCCAAAAAATGAGCTACAGACAATCCTACGGAGCAGTCGTGCTGTGATTCACACAGGGCTGCCACAAGTTGGTGTCAACTCTATAGCAACGGTTTGGGTTTTGGTTTTCAGGAAACTTAAATACGCAATTGTGTTAGGTACACACCTCAGAGTGAAATGTCTGGGCCATACAACATGCTAGCGTCTATGAAGGTTGACCACAGACAGTTGCCCAAAGTGGTGGTACCAACTGAGGAATCTGAATTTCCAAATTATACTTCCGAGGTCCCAGGAGGCCCACAGAGGTGAATTTTGAGTGTGAGGAGCACAGAAGCAGAAAGTGGACCTATTTAAAATGCACAGTCCTCTTTGGAATCGACCTGTGAGCCTGGTGAAGACGGAGACTTACATCAGATCTTCGATGCGGCACCGCGGGTGGCTCAGAGCTTCACAGAGCAACCTCACGTCATCATGGGAGAGGGCTGTACTGCTAAGGTCCAGGTACCTCAGGTACGGGTTATGAGTGAACACCTCAAAGAAGAGCCAGTTCTCACCATAGAAGCAAAAATTATTCATCCTGCAAAAACCAAAAGACATTACTGGATGAGTTGCCCCAGCAAAGCCTGGGAGAAAAGCAGGAGCAGCTTGCATCAGACTGCCTCCCATGGCCCATGGTGAACTGAGGCTTCCGTCTCACAACCTGAAGACGGGGCTTGGCGCTTCTCAACCTGGGTGGTCTGCCTCCCTGTGGGACTGTACGTAAGGGCCGGTGTTGTCAGCTGTCAAGTAGTTCTAAGTCACCACCACCCCAGGTGTGCAGAGTCGAACTGTGCTCCACAGGCCTTTCAATGGCTGGTTTTTTGGGAGATCATCAGGCCTTCTGAGGCATGTCTGGGTGGACTCGAACCACCAACCTCTCAGTTAGTAGTTGAGTGTTCAACTGTCTCCACCCAGGGACTCCCACTTGGCAAACAGTTGGTGCTAATTAATGTCATCGATACCTGTTGAAGGAGTGAGTGAATATTGGAGACAATATGGAGGACACTGCCCTTCCTTCCTTCTTTTCATCTTGTAGAAACGCTGGCTCTATCCCCATCTACCTCTAAGAACATTGTCCTAAAGCGGTAACTCTCTCACACATGCTTCCTTGAACTCAGTTCAAGCCCACATCACTATTACAAACCAGTCCAGACCACTGGTTCTCAACTGAGGCAGATTCTTCCTCAAGGAGACATTTGGCAATATCTGGAGCCATTTTTGGTGGTCACAACAGAGGGGCTTGCTAGTGGGTAGAGGTCACTAAGTAAGCATCCTGCGATGCACAACATGGCCTCCTTGACAAAGAATCCTTAACAATTCTGAGGCTGACCTCTAAATGCAATGACAGGTCTCTCCTCATCCAGAGCGAAGAATGAAGAAAACCAAAGACACACGGAAATAATCAGTCCAAGGGACTAGAGGACTAAGCGAACCCATGTGACCATCAGACGAGAAAAACAAGATGGTGCCCGGCTACTACTATCAACCACCTGGATGGGGATCAGTGTAGGAGATCCTGGGTAGAGTGGGAGAACAACGTGGAACAAAACTCAAAATCCTAAAAATTTTAAGACCAGGTATACTGGTCTGATAGAGCCTGGTGAGACCCCTGAGACTATGGTCCCTAGTTACCCTTCGGGTCTGGAATTGAACTCACTCCCATGGCTTCCAGCCAAACAATAGACAGGCAGATGGGGTGAACATTTACATCAGGTAGATACACTCCTTGGAGTGTCAATCCAGGGAGATCAGAAGGGCAGTGTTTGCACAGGGAGACAGCTAGAGGGCAGGGGACAGGAGCGCATGGGAAGGAAGGACACAGGGAAGAGGTAATTATAAGGAGGAAGTGGGGAGAGAGCTGTTACACTGTGGGGAATTGTAGTCAATGTCACGAAACAAAATGTGTATGAACTGCTGTGCGTAAAACGAATTTGCTCTGTAAACTTTCACCCAAATCACAGTAAATTTTTTTTTACAAAACTCTGAAGCTGAGAAAACCCACTCTAGATTTAATTCTGTGACGGCATTGGCCTCACCTGAAAGGTAATGCTCATCTGTCATTTCCACGGTACACACTCAAGTCTAGGTTGATCTCCAACTTACTCGAGCTTTTCAAGGTGACAACTGGGATGCCTCAGCTCTTGACACAAAGCCACGAAGGCGGTTTCATCGAGGACACTGTTGTACACTTGCAGTTCTTCGAGGTGCACGTTTGTGGTAAGCACAGAGCAGATACGACGCCAATGGATGAGACTGCGAGTTGACCTACAGTGAAGGACAACGGAGGTGCTCTTCTCAGTAAACACTCAACCCATGGTCAAAGTTCAATTCCCAGTCTACACAACCAACAAACCACACCCATTGCTCAAGCGTCAATTCCAACTCATGGCGACCCCACGTGTGACAAAGTACAACTGCACTCTGGGGTTCTCTTGGCCGTCATCTTTACGGTTGGCGATCATAGGCCTTTCTTCCATGGTGCTGTGAGTGGGTCAGAACCTCCAATCCTCAGGGCAGGATCGAGGGCAAACCATTTGCACCACCCAGGGACCCATTCCCTGTATACGGGCACAATAAACTATCTTCCTGAAACAAGAACTTGGGTGGTGAGTGAGTTAAGATTTGTAAGAAATCTTAGAATGAATTTTAAGAGGTGGTTTCTGGTTGTGAGGTCAAGAAAGAGTCTTGAGTGTGCTATCCGTGTGAACGACACAGTGTTAATTGTAAATTAAGTCAGCTGCTATTTGAGAAAGGGGCCCTGGTGGCACAGCGGTTAAGTGCTCAGCAGCTAACCGAAAGGTTGGTGGTCTGGACCCACCCAGTGGCTGCTGGGGAGAAACACCTGGAGGTTTGTCCCCGTGAAGATTCAAACCAAGAAGTGAAGGCACTGTCATCCAGTCCATTCTAATTCACAGCACTCCCTCAGGACAGAGTACAACTGTCCATGGGGTTCCCGAGGCTGTCGATATTTATGGAAGCAGACTGCTTCATCTTTCTCCTACGGAGCAGCTGGGGGGTCGAACTACCAACCTTTGGCTTAGCAGCTGAACACTGTAACCACTGCCTAGAAAACCCCGGGAGGCATTCCTGCTGTGTCAGAGGAGTCGTGATGAGTTGGAATTTACTCCAGGGTGCCCAACAAGGTCAATGTTTGGGAAGCCCAGGGGTACGCTTCACACGGATTCTCACACTCAGCTGTCACGTTATCGCACGTGACCCTTTTCATAACGAGGTAACTGAGGCAAAGAGAGGGCAAGTCTCCTGGACAAGCCCACATACTCCATGAAGAGCCAAGTCGGGACTTGACCACGTTAAGGTGAGATCCCACCCATGATGCTGTCAGGCACTCCCTCAACAAAACCCACTCATGAACACAGAGAGGTGCTGAGAAGAGGCCGGCAAGAAAGTCAATGGATGGACTCACGTAGAGCTGTCTCCGTTCTCCTGCTTGAAGACGTTTAGGATGGAAAAAGAAAGTTTCCTCGAGCCAGAACTGTGCTTCAGGCAGTAGGCGGAAACCATCAAGTCCACACTGTCACTGACAGAGAAGTCAGCTTCCTGGAAGCAGGCCAATGCCTGCCTCACAAAGACGCTGTCCTGCGTCTCCAACAGGCTGTAGAATAGCACCAGCAAGTCCACCCGCCCCCTCAGATGCTCATGCTCCCCCAAAGCCCTCAGGCACCGCTGGAGCTCCTGCTTCACCGCCAGGCGCCGCTCGAAGTCAGTGAAGGCGCCCAGCTTCTGCACCTCCTCATTTAAAAGGCCAAACAGAAAGCACCCCCCAAAAAATCCAATGTGGCTTTGCTCTCTTCAGATAGGTCAGTACCAGTGCCTTTGCACATCCAATGGTGGGGTTGGGGTGATCAGCGGGGTGCTTCAGTAAATAAAACATGGCGGCACAGAACTCCTGGGCGCACACGTGGATGAATGTGTACGAGCTCCCCTGCCCCCCGCGCTTCTGAAGCAGCTTCCCGTCCAGCAAGGCGGGGACATCACTAACCCGTTCCTCCTGAGGTCCTCCTCGCTGAACTCAAACGTGTCCGTCCACACGCCTTCCACAGCCAGGGAGCACAGGCCCTTCAACTGGCCTCGGCCCCGCTGAAGCGGGCACCCGGCGCCCTTGGGCGCGAGCGCGTTGGAGAGGAAAGCGGCGTACAGGGAGGTGGTGGTGCGGCCCCGCTCCATCTCCTGCCTCAGGCTGGCGCACACGACCCAGCACAGCACCGGGGCCTGGCACATGGCGAACAGCTGCTCGTTCTCTCTCACGGAGCGCAAGGCCTCCGCGGCCTCCTTCCTGTCCTGAAAGACGCAGGAGAAGGACAGCTTCCTGTCGCTCTCGCTGAGTCCCATGGCCGTTCTGACGTCTGGGTGCTCCAGCTGAGCCTCGAGCTCCTCCTGGCACTCGGGTGTCGTGGCAACGAGCAGGGAGGCCTCCGGGAGCACCTTCCTCCTCAGCAAGCTGCCCAGGACCACCTCCCCCGGCCGCTGCTGCGTCCAGTCACCGCACAGCTGCGTCCCGGGCTCTCTCCAGGCACGCGTCAGCGCCTCAACGCTGTCGACGATGAACGAGACTCTCTCCGGCTGGGACAGGATCTCTGCCAGGGGCACGGGGGCGTCGGGCCAGTCTCTGGAGATCAGCTCAGCCAAGCTGGTCGCCGTCAACCGCTTCACCTCTCGGTAGGAGAAGAAGAAAACATACAGGAACCTATCCTGATAGAGGGTGCCCTCTGCCCAGGCCAACAGGAACTTGACAAGGAACGTTGTCTTCCCAAATTTGGGGGTTCCAACAAGGACCACAGTACGTGGTGGCTCTTCTCTCGCTGCCTTAGGCACAAACAAGACTTCCATGTAGTCCCGCTCCTTCTGCTCAAAGTAATCGTGGATCCTGGGGAAAGATTCCCTGGGCCACATATTGCTGAATTTCTTCTTCACGTGAGCGCGATACATCTTTGCATGTCCTGAGTCAGTGAGGACAGGAAGAAAAAACACAGAATGTATCAAAGTTAAACACACATCCACATACTCTCTGACCCTGAAATTTTGCTTCTCAGGGGTCGGCAAACTGCGGCCATGGGCCAACGCCGGTCCAGAGGCTCATTACGTCAAGTTTCACTAGAACCAAGTCATTTATGTGTTGTCTACAGTTGCTCGGCCGTGACCACGGCCCAGCTGAGTAGTTCCGACAGAGCCCACGTGGCCCAAACCAAACTCACTGCCGACGAGTCAATTCGACTCAGAGCGACCCCTCCTTGGGTTTTCAAGGCAGGATCTCTACGGAAGTAGACTGCCCAATCTTCCTTCCGCGGAGTGGCTGGTGGGTTTGAACCGCCAGCCTTCTGATTAGCAGTCACATGCCTCAGGCACTGTGCCACCAGAGCTCCCACATGGCCCACAGAATCTAAAATATAAATTCTCCGGCCCTCCACAGAGAGTTTGCCAATGCCTTCCCTATATACACACACACAAACATACATGCAAACACACGCACACCCCCAGATCTTCACCACTGATCCAGAAGAGAAAAGAACTGTATGACTACCAGTGGCAGACCAGCTAGATAATTTACGGAACCATGAGATACTCTCCAGATGTTAAAAGGATGGGATGGGCTGTCTACGTGGGCAAAGAAAAAGCAGTGTCTGTGGTACGTACCCACTGGTGTAGAGCTGTGTACTGAACGGATCTCAAGTTGACACTAGGGCCTGTTGTGTGTTGTTGTTGTGGAGAATACACACAGCAGGGCACACGCCACCCAACAGCGTCCCCGTGGACCATCAGCGAAAACGAGGACATCCCCTGAGTATGCGACCATCCCGCCCTCCTTCACGGAGCCGCTCCTCCTCCGTGAACATCCCCCGAGGGTCCCTATCTGATCTTTGTGGTTGCTGCTGTCACTTTGGTCCCACAGAGAAAGCTCTTAGAAGAGAACAGTGCTCAAGGGACATTCTTTGCTACTGAAGTATCTGGTTTTAAGAAGACTTCAGGGGATATTTTTGGTTTAAGGTTTAAAAATTATCTCAGGACAAAAGTTTCAAGTGTTCACTCAGCCCCAATTACTCCTGAAGTTCTGGATTCCATGAGAATTTCAAATTCTGTGTCGCATTCTCCCTCTTTTGATCAGGATTCTTCTATAGAATCTTTGATCAAATTGTTGAGTAATGGCAGCCGGGCACCATACAGTTCTTGTCCGGTGGCAAAGGAGGCAGCTGCTCATGGAGGCAATTAGCCACACACCCCGTTTCCTCTCCTTATTCCTGACTTAGAAGGACCTGCTTGGAATACACCAATAACCTGTAACTCAGTGTTTGTAGACCCCTCCCAAATGTCTGTTAAGGTAACTGACCAGAGGCAGGAGATCTTGGATAGAGTGGGAGAACAATGTGGAACAAAACTTAAAATCATGGGGGAAAAAAAAAAAAAAGAGCAGGTTTGCTGTTCTCATAGAGCCTGGTGAGACCCCTGAGACTACAGCCCCTAGTTACCCTTCGGGTCTGGAACTGAATTCACTCCTGGGGCTTCCAGCCAAACAACAGACAGGCCTGTGGGGTGAACATTTACATCAGGCAGATACACTGCTTGGAGCAATCAATCCTGGGAGAACAGAAGGGCTGTGTATGCTCAGGGAGACAGCTGGGGGGCAGGAGTGCATGGGAGGGAAGGACACAGGGAAGAGGTAACTACGGGGAGGAAGTGGGAGAGGAGCTGTTGCATTGTGGGAAATAGCAGTCAATGTCATACAACAAAATGTGTGTGAACTGCTGTATGGAAAATGAATTTGCTCTGTCAACTTTCACCCCAATCACAATAAAAATTAAAAACTAGAAAAGATAGGGAGAGATTCTGACCTGGATGCATGTTCTCAGCTTAGGAAAATCTCCTGATAACCCAAAATGTTACACAATACAGGGTAGGGCACGCTGTATTAAAAAAAAAACAAAAAAACAAACCCAGCTGTCCTCAAGTCAGTGCCGACTCCTGGCAACCCCATGTGTCTGTAGAGCTGCACCCCACAGGCTCTCAGAGTCAGTGATCTTTCTCAAGTAGACCATTAAGCTTTATTCGAAACTTTCCTGGGTGGATTTGAACTGCCAACCTCAGTTACCAATGGAGTTATTAACCATTTATACCACCCAGGACTCCACGGGTCATGGTAGCTGTCTCCATTTTACCACATGTAATGACCATGTCACAATTCATTGGTCTCCTACCCACAAGAATGATGCTGTCCCTAGTGCACCTGCCCCTGATACAGACAGGCACAGAGGTGGTCTATCGAGTATGGCCCGGTCCTCACTGCAGGAAGGCCGGCCCTCATCGCAGGCGGCCCACACTCACCGCAGGCGGCCACACTCACCGCAGGCGGCCACACTCACTGCAGGCGGCCCTCACTGCAGGCGGCCACACTCACCGCAGGCGGCCACACTCACCGCAGGCGGCCCACACTGCAGGCGGCCACACTCACCGCAGGCGGCCACACTCACCGCAGGCAGCCCGGCCCTCACCGCAGGCGGCCCACACTCACCGCAGGCGGCCACACTCACCGCAGGCGGCCCTCACTGCAGGCGGCCACACTCACCGCAGGCGGCCACACTCACCGCGGGCGGCCCGGCCCTCACCGCAGGCGGCCCACACTCACTGCAGGCGGCCACACTCACCGCAGGCGGCCTGGCCCTCACCGCAGGCGGCCCACACTCACCGCAGGCGGCCACACTCACCGCAGGCGGCCAC